GCATGACCCTAGTATACTATAGTACCATTATTCCCAAGGTATAAGACACCTAGGGTCACGCAGGATTTTTAGTATCCGCCGTAGGGTTCAGGGGGTCATCCCTGAAACCCTCATTTTGAGACTTTCGGGTAGATCACAGAAAGCTCCAAGCCTCGGCCAAAGCATCAACGCAAGCAGCGGAAGCAGCAGGAGCTTTAGAGCCCTGAAGTCAGGGGCTCAGGGCTTTAGAGCTTGAATGTTATAGGGTTAAGGTGTGGGTCAGCTTAAAGTAAAAGGCGGCGCATCCAGAGTTTCGGGTCAAGGTTTCAGCGTTTAGGGTTCTCGGTGTTTAGGCTTCACCGTGCAACCCCTCCAGCATGGGGGTACATCCTCAAAGCGGCACTCCACATGCGCCTCGCCAATAATGAAGGGTCCCTCTAAAGGGCGGCGCACAAATGGGAATCCCAATTTTGTGGTTGTTTGTACACATGTCCATATATCTCACCCGAATTGCCAAGCCCTAAACACTCGCACTACCTTTTCTGCAATTGCACTGTATGGCCCACAAGTTCCCCCTACTTGGGCGGCTGTACAGAAATCCTTGGTTTCTGGACTACAAGAACGCAAGCAGCTGTACCAATCGTTGCCGCAGCCCGCAAGAGCAGGCATTGTGAGCACTCAACCCTACTCCTATTTTAAAGTCATCTAATCCCCACATGGCATGGGTGTCTCGAATGAAGCGCACCACATGACATGCCTGCGGCATCAGGATGCTGGAAATTCAGAAACAAACACCGAGATCTTGACAACTGATGCTGCAGAACTAACAGTCGCTCTGCGCGCTAAATCCGAGTCATAATCAACAAGCCTTACCACACAAACACACACACACATGAACAAATGTATTGTTCAATAAAACCTATTCGTCCCTACGTACCCCTGTAATGCGAATGCGTACACCCCCCCTTTTAAAGGGAGTAACCCTAAGGCCTCAACCCTCCAGTCAGCCCAACCAAGCCGGCCTCAACCGCTGCCGCGCGGGTGACCATGGCATGTCAGCCTTTCTCGCGAGCATCATCTCCCACACGGCGTTTGAAAGGATGCGCGGTCTAAATGTGAGTAGCGATGTGCTGCTTGATTTGCACATGTTTTTGTATATGCAAACTTGTTGTTCGTCTTTGAAACAGGACGAGCTCGTTACGTCATCTAAATGTTGGAAGGTCCATTTGCCACCTGGAGTCGAGGTGTTCTTCAGGCATTAGCTGGGGAGGTTAGGGGCCCAGTGCCTAGAGCCTTCTTGCGTGAAGACTTTGAACACCTCAGGAGTCAAAGGATTGATGGGTCAAGTAGGGAACCATGGCCACTTTAACAACAGGTTGCTAGATGTCCGTCTTCATATGCTGCAACTTGCTGGAGTGCCACCGCAGAGTCGTTACGGGTTCTAAGAACTGTATTCGAATGTGTGGCCCAATTCGGCCCCACGTGGAACGCTGTGCAATGGAGCAGAAAATGCGGCATTGAGAGCAGGTGCAAGCCACCACACAACAACGTCCGCAAGCAAGGATGATGCACCCTTAAGGCCAGGAGCTTTTTACCAGTTTGGCGGCTATGTATCGCTGCAGAATAGCCGCCGCAATTTCTGCGTGGCTGTCCTCATAACGGTGGGGACTGGTCAAATCAACTTGGTCCCAATGCCTGAAAAAGGCGACTTTGCGATGATTTTCTTTACGAAGGACCTTGTGGGCCAGGATGGCTGAGGTCGCCATAACCAATTCGCCCAGTTGCGCTGCACCTGCGACCGCCAATGGGGCAGTGGCAAGGTGTTTGCTCATGACTCATCGCAGGCTCGCCGACAGGCCGAGGAAGCACCTCTTCGTGAATCATATGCAGTGTAGCGGAAGAAGTGTTACAGAATGCTTTGGAATTCTGAGGGCTGCATGGGGAACTCTAGCGGCTGTCTCAGCCAACCCATGTCTACTTCGCAATGCTTCACAGGATCCTCTGACCCATACGGTAAAGGCTCAGTACCCGAGCCACGGCATCCAGGCTTCTTTGCGCAAAGTGAGAAACCCTACATACCAGGACCTTCCTTGTACCCTTAATTGGGGATATATGGTCCCTAATAGTGGGTACTTAGGCCCTAACAGAGGGTAGGAGAAGGGTCTAGGTACAAAGGTGCATGACTGATTGTGACACTGCAAGAACACATGAGAATTCCGCAATTAGGGTCACCCCCTATGTATGTATATATCCCTGAACATACAGTATAACCTCCATTATACTACTTGGCAGTTAGCACCCCTACTAAGGGTTAAACCTTAGGTACCTATAATAGGAATATGTGGGAATCCCAAAGTGTTAAGGGTCTCAGGTCCAAGCGAAGTCCCAAGGAGTAGATACAGGAACTCCCGCAACGCCCCCCATCTGCAAATCAAGGAACATCCGAAAATCTGTTTAAATAATTTGCGAACGCTCCACTTCTCACAGACGTAGCGTCAGAGACATCATGCGGAATCCCGCTTCAGTTGAAATTGCTGTCTTGGTATTCCTGCTACAACTCTATATAACTTGAGCCTCATAAGATTCCCTCTCCGTGCGTTGATGCTACATCGTATGCCTCCGAACCTAATACTGTCCCCGATCAGACTGCCATGATCTAGACGCGCCTGATAAGGTCATAGGAAACCAACATTGCATGTACTTATATTCAAATTTAACTGTGGCCCACGCCCTCCACCAAAAAGACAGCCCACAAGCACACACGAATATGCTTGCGAAACCCATCAACGTGAAAAGGCGAAAGCCCACTTTGTACGGCCCGCTAACGGCTCAAATGCATCGTCCTTCCGTGAACCCGACGCATAAGAAACTACTCTAGATCTGGGATCCTAATCTAACCAGGACACAAAGCACTGAAAGTCGCGGCCTTGCTTCCATTGTACAGGGCTTGGACGTCACAGGCGAGGCGCAAAAGATCCGAGGCCTACAGCAGGATTACCTAGACCTTCCTCCTACCCTCTATTAGGGCCTAAGTACCTACTATTAGGGACCAGGGACCATATATCCCCAATTAAGCGTACAAGGAGGGTCCTTGTTAACCAACTATCATTGAAAATGGCCATGGGTATCCGATCCTCTCCCCTCCTCCATCTGATACAGGGGGCCTTAGGGGTCTTCTTCTAACCCCAATATACCCCCAATATAACACCAAATAATATAGTTTAGGGTTAAGGGTGAAGGGTTTAGGGTTTACTTAAATTTTGCTGAGATGAGCAGTCGGATCCCAGGATTGAGAGGGCTTGGGGGACCCCATGCAGGCACGGTGAGGCTGAGAACATCCACCACCACAAGCACAAGAAACATTGGGATAATGGAAAATACAATGGAAACTACTATAGTATATTAAATAAGGAATACGTAGGGATAATGGAAAATGGAAACTACTAGTGTTCTGGGGTTATATAGGGATAACGGAAAATTAAAACTATACAACACAAAATGTCACGGCTTCCACTTCAGCTTTCACAGGCTTGTGTGCGCACCTCCTTCTTGCTCACATTAATGTTCCGAAGTAGTCTCATCCCGTCAACCCGCACACCCTCTGCGCAACAAATGCTCCCTAGGGTAACCCACAAGAATTGGAAGATACTGCTTCAACATTGGGGACAGAGGGGTCTCTACAGCATCAGGGGGAATGATTCAAACCTTACTCCAAGCCCTAAACCTTTTAGAGCTCTGCTCTGGTACATTAAAAGGGTTTCAGTTCCATGCATAGGCGCTAGAGTCTCCGCTAGAGGTCCGGCAGGCGATGATTTTGTATCTCTTTCACTACCCTAGGCCTCCAAATAGCCCAATGTAGGTACCCCGATAATGGAGAATCAAATGGAAAAGCAAATGGACAATGAAATGGAAACTAGGGGTTTCTAGGGATGTATAGGGCTCCAAATAGCCCAATGTAGGTACTATTTATAGACATTGGGCCCAATGTAGGCATAATTTATAGACATGGAGGTCCGGGGTTACAACAGCGTTTTGAGAAACATGCTGCAAGTGGATATGGCCTTCAGCAGGCCAAGTCCATTGTGCATATCCCCAGAGGGTCCAAGTACCCAATAATTAGGTACTTGGGTTTTGGGTATAGTAATTATAGTACAGGTTTCGGGCAAGTATATGGTTATTGGGTACTTGGACCCTTAGGGATCTTTCTGTCTCACACCCCCCCTGCTCACACAGCGACTACTTGAATATCTTCTACAACCAGGAACAGGCCGTCGACTTGCCGGGGTGTAGCTTCAGGATATTTCCCTAGGGCTGCAAATAACCCAATGTAGGTACTATTTATAGACATTGGGGCCCAATGTAGGCAGTATTTATAAACATGGACCCTCAGGGTTTGGAAGCTGATCAATTTGTTGGCTCCCTGTTTGTGTAGACTCTCACATATTGATTGAGCTCTGCTTCCCTCAGGTGTCAGGTGCCTGAACGTGTCGGGAAACCGCAGCCTTCAGCCCTATAGATGCCCGTGTAGCCATGCAGTATATGTATATGTAGATATATATACATATATGTACATACATACATATGTCACGTTGGCTCTCTTGGAGCAAAACTCAGGCACTGACTCACGAGTTGGAGAGGATCCTGCAAAATCCAGGCGGTTTAGGCTTAGTTGTTGAGGGTTTAGGGGTTTGGGGGTCCGAGCAGCCATGTCTACATGGCCATGGGGACTGTCATCGGGAGTCTGAGGGCCCAAGAAAGATCAACCTGGGTCCAAGGGGCTTCCGATATCTAGGTGCATTCCGAATCAAGATTTGCACTGCACCATCGACCGTACGACATGTCATCTGAAACTGCTGAGAGGGCGCAAGCAATAACACCAGCTGCGCCTGATTTTGCATGGCTACCCCGTGGACAAAGGAGCTACTACCTGCACCGTCCAATGCATGTATTTTTGGCTTCTTGATATGGATTGTTCTGTTGAGCTCTGAGGGTCTAATAATGTACTACATTGGGCGGTCCAGTTAATGCACATCGCCAGCAGCTATGCGGAACGCCAAGAACATTGGCAGCGGATTCCCTTTGCGCATGTGGAGCAGCAAGGGCGAAGTGCTGTCTAGGCCATGGTCGCTGCAGATGCACCCATCGTACGAAACTAACCTCAAGTCAGGGAGTAGCAGGCTGCTTCCCAGCATCTCGACGCAAGTCTCTGCAATGGCCGGCATGGGATCTTGAAAGACAGAAAGATTGAAGAGCGGTGGCCCTGTTGGATCCTCCTCATTGCACAAGGCCTCCAAGCTAGCCTGTATGTGAACGTCACCGACAAACATGTCAATGGATGGCTCTGCTTCACACCGGCAATCGTCGCCGTCATCATAGCCCGAAAACATGAACTCAACATCACGCACCTTAAATCTAAAATTGCTGAAGAAGACGTGCCCATCATCGGCATCGGCTGCAAGACCCCTGGCGGCATCAAGAAAAGCAAGAACCTCACCAGTGTTCTTGAAGGCGACCTCGCACATCAACGTCACTGCTGGCAGGCAAAGCCGCTCCAATCCTTCTAGTCCCAGAGCCTGGAAGAGCCCAGCAGGTTGCCAAGTCCCAGGGCCTTGTATCCAAGGTCCCCCAAGCTGAGTCGTTCCTGACTGAGCCACAGCCTTCCGCAAGGATCGGCATGCTACGGCCAGCCGCATGACAAAGACATCTGCCTGGGCACCAGTATTATATAAAAGAATTGCCCGAAACTACTGAAAATTAGCCCCAAAAGGCAACGTCTTTTACATACTTTTGCGGTCCAGGTGCTAAGAAATCGGCGACATGAATCAGAATCTGGCCACCGAGCATCGCCCCCCCGAGCTCGGGCTTCATGGCCATCCCCAGACCTACAGTCAGCCTTGTAGGCGCTTTTGGGCCGAAAGGCCTATATAGATGCACAAGAGCTGAAAATGGCACAGTTTCAGAACCCACTCAACAGCACATCTAGATGCAATGCTGAAAGGCTCCTGGACCTGGATGAGATCGGTCTTCAGGCGCATGTAGCTAAGGAGGTCGTGGCAATGCAACCTGCAGCTTTCTGCCCGTCGCTTTTTGAAATCAGGGTTCTACAGAAATAGGATGGGCCGAAAACCCTAAGCTACCAAAATCTCATCCAACACACCTGAACTGACGCCTGCCCACTGCTTTGCATCCTAAGCAGCTTCTGCATCTTCTTCCTGCAAACCCTCAAGCAAGGACAACCCCTACTAGGCTGGGGTTTGCAGTATGCATGGCCAAGTTAAGTGCTTGATGTCCAAATTGGAGATTCTAAAGAAGCTGATTGTTGGGGGACACGGGCTTCATGGTAAGGATTCCACCTCCGCTTGATATATGATCCGAACCTGTTGGGGGTCAGGGCATATCCGCCAGCAGACACGTGATCTAGGAGTCTCACACCTGCCACGAATGATCTTCCGAGGAGACGCCCAGGACATTGTGTCGGTGCTCACGCATGGGTTGCTTGCACCTGCAGATATGGAGAGTTTCTGGAAAAGGGTATACTGCCAGAGAATGTAATAGCATATAGTAAGGAGTAGACGGCTATGGTCCCTACTAGAATAGTCCCGAGAATCTTTTCACAAACTCCCACGTGATACGTTCAACTCGTTTGACTTCATACCCTCTCGCATTAACAACTGGTGCTGCCTCTAGTTGAGTTGATCGTTGATAGTGGCGTACGACTACTACTCATGTTGCCAAAGGCAGGTTTGGGCGGTGAGAGACTATTTCAGGCCACAAGGCCATATGTACAACAAAAGCAGTGTGGGTAACCCCGACCCCGACCCCCACCATAAGGATCCGATTATTGTCAGGTGATACTTCCTAAACCCTAAACCCTAGAAAGTTAACGGGCTGGGGTTCCTCAAGTTCCGATAGTCCAAGTACCCAAATAGTCGGGCTTTAGGTCACAAATTCTATAGTCTGAATGGGTTTGGGCACCAAACTCCGAATAGTTGGGTACCTGGATCCTGCGTGGTAAGCACCCCCAGAGCAGCAGTCACTTCATGGCGGAGGACTTAGCCAAGGGATTTTCAAACTTGAAAGGCGGGGCTCCCCCCACCCAACTAAGGCTCTGCCACCGGACTGGAGGTCAGAACGCATCGCAAACTTTTACAGGACACGGAAATGTTTGAATGCAGCTGTGGCAAAAACTCATATGACTTTACGCGCAAGGTAGATTGAAAGGCGGTTCTGATAACCGTTGGCATTGACACCAAATCCTGCCAAGGCACAAGCTGCTTCAATGCCCGTCTATAGAAGCTGCGGACGTTGCCCGTGATGAGGCGGGCCTGGGCCTTGCACAGCAGCTCTGGGGTACAGGGTGCGTTTGTGTCAGTACCTGATGGTGCTGGCAGTGACTTGCTGCGAAAACATAGGTGGTACTAGCCATTAACGTCATAGTGGTCGTGGTCCTGCTTTGTGGTGCTGTTGGTGGCAGGTGTTGACAACAGCCGTGGCGGTGGTAACCACTGTAATGACGGCACGAATGCCAGTACTACTCGGGAAGCAGAGAGCATGCAGGGATGCATGAGAGGTAACACTACCCAATCATGGATAGCCTTGATACCCCCTGCGCATACGAAACATGGCTCTGTGCCGCAGTGGGGGTACCGGGCCCTACGCCTGACACCTCACACACCAAACCACTCAAAAACATCTTAAATTCTACACCCTGAACTAGAAGCCCACATACCTCTCAAGGCCGCCCGCCTGAATCTCGGAGCTTTGCCGCGAAAAATCTGCTGTTAGCGCCAACTGGACAAGCTCCTCTGCTGCAGAATCCAAAAGCTCAATGGGGCATATTCCCGTAGTTCTTAGTTGATGAGGGACTATGCATTCATGACATGATACAAGATCCCTGATATGGTTTAAGAGCCTACATGAAGTATGCTGGATTGCTCGGGCGTAGTTCGAGTTTGGAATTCTTGGCAATATACAAATTCCCCAAACGAGTTCTAGCAAGCAGAAACACGATCAAGACCTTGTAAAGAAAGCACTGGCAGTAGCCACAGAAAACGTTTCATCCCGATCGTTCTACAGAGATGTATGCATCCCTGTACCCGAAAGGCACCACCCACAACAGACGTATAGCCATCCAAGAGTCTGTCAACGATCGAAAGTAGAGGATGTGGGGATAGCGGTGCACCTGGCATGCTATTCCACAAAACTTGTAAGACAATGATTGGCGTTGAAAAAAGATTTGATACTCATACACTCAGAACAACAAGGCTGGCCGTAACAGCAATCAGATTTTCAAAGCAGCTCCAAGAAGTGTTGCGCTACCAGTAGTGGAAGAAGTGACCATAGTAGTGGCAGTAGTATGCAGTAGTTGTATAGTAGAAGTAGCAGCATGATTGGCGGGGAAAGGAAAATCATAAGCTGCAGTAGTACAAGTGGCCCCGAAGGTGAGGAGGCTTGGCGGTGGTAGCGGTGGCGGTGGTGTTGGCGGCGCTGGAGGTGGATGTAGGCGAAGGTGAAGGGGCAGGTGCTGACAGAAGTGGCTGCGATGCGCCATAAAGTGGTGTAGTGCAGCAAGAGCGAGGACGTGCACCTCAACATTTCCCAGAGTTATCAAGAGTAAACGTAAAGCTGCTGTGGCTGTAGGTCAACAAGTCAGATGCATTGGAGCCTTGTGAATTCTCAATCAAGCTTTCGACAACTATCTACAGGTGTCTCAGACAGAATACATGTGGCAGCTACTCGCTGACAACCCGACAAGTATTCAAGCTTGAACTACTCATCAGTGTTCGACGCTTAGGATGGCAAGCCTCAAGCCAAGCAATACCACAAACCCCAAACTCCCTTTGTACAAATCCTTTAAGCCCGAAGTCTGGTGAAGCTTGATATATATATATATTGTATAGTTTCCTTCTGAATCATGGATCCCCAACAGCACACACTAACGTTCAGGATTGCACAATTCAGGCTGAACAGATGAAGGTCTGACCTTCGGCTGGTACAGCTACACGGATGAGACTCCTCACGCCCTCATTCCCCGAGGCAATGCGCACTTAGAGCCAAGAAAGGAAGTCACCCTGAACCCTAAACCACAAAGTGAGACCCCTTCTTAGCAATGCTGATATGACCCTTTGACGCTGCCCCGGTTGAAGCATCATGTCAGCAATAGTCTAAACTCCTTATACCTTAATAACCCTTTAATAGTACCCTATAACCCTAAACCCTAAAACCTAAACCCTAATCCCAAACCCTAAGCCATATAATCCCCATAAAGCCCGCTTTAAGAAGTTTCGATTATGGCTCATGTATGCTGGAAGACTGGCACCTCCGCTAGTGGGAGCCAGAATGATAAGTGCTCCGGAGGATGCCTCAGCTTCGTCATGGTTCGTTGGGAATGAAGCCCCCTTAAGATTCCCTTTCGGCTCTTGCTAAGCTTCCCATGTAGGGAAACCTCCACTCTCAGAGTGTCTTAAATGAGGACAAGGTCCTTGCAGCCCTCTCTGAACTTCCCAGCCCGGACTCAAGCTTCTTCAAGGTATCGTTAAGCTTCCTCGTGAGTTTTCGATTTCGTGGATCTTAAACATCTTCTTTAGCCGGTGTTAAGGGAGGAATGCAGGTGGCATTATGCATATTTTCACCGGGACTGCTGCAGGAATCCATCTCCACTTTCAACAGTACTTTGCGGGTTTTATGGGCGCCGGCGACAGGAGGCTTGGGAAGTCGGAGGATTCAAATATCTGGTGCCAATCCCTGGTGACAGACAGGATAGGGTTTAGGGTTTAGGGTGGGGCTACCGTAGAGTCCCAGCAGTTCCTAGGGTAGTATAGGTTATATAATGCAATAAACTACGATAGTACATTGGGGTTGTCTAGGGATAATGGAAAAGATGGAAACTACTATAGTATATTGGGGCTGTTTTGGGATAAAGGAAAATAAAACGGCAATTAAAGAGAGTACAGGGATGATAGGGGTAATATAAGGATTATAGGGTATATGTTCTCGCATCCGACAAGTACCAGCGTGGCTTATTCAGGGACACCTCCTTTCTTGGAGACCCATCTCCCACACATGCTCTTAGGGCCGGAGAGGCAGCCTTCCATTGATGCATCGATGCCTACGCTAGAAACAGTACTAGTGTCAGCGTCCTGTACGTCTCGAGTAGCCAAAATCCTTAAACTTCTGCCGTCTTTGGGATTTCCTGCATGTCTACTTAAGCCTTCAGCGTCATCATCAGATTTCTGCCCTGCCATTCATTGCCTTTGTGAAGACTTCTTCGCTCAGTTTCTCTCTTGGGATGTAGAAACCCCAAACCCTAAACCTCGTGATGACAAGTGTTCGCTCAGTTGCTCCTTTGGGTTGTAGAATGGTGGGAACTGCCATTCATCTGCAGCGTCAAAGATCCGGCGAGCAAGCGCCTGGCTGTTGCTTCACATTCAGGTGCTTCTCAAAATCACAGGGCGCATGTTGAGGGCATATAGGGACAACATGTTCAGAATAAGTGTATTGGATTTAGGGTTTCGGGTGTATATAAGGATATGTTGCTATAAACATACAACATACAACTTGAACATACAGGACTCAGACTCTTCCCTCAACCATTCCTGACCCTCAGGGATGGGTGATACCTTTCCTGGCACGTCGACCTGAACTGTTCCCAGCGATTCTGGATGATTCCGAACCCTGGCCTGCGTGTTCCAAAGTGATATTGTGTACC